CACCAGTTTGTAGAGGGATGTAGGATCCAGGAAGTTAGTTCTGCCATTGAGGGGAGTGTGTTGGAGAGGCTGATGGTGAATCAGCAGGACCAATGAGTGGAGAGAGAGGCGGGGGGGGGAAGCAATTCATGCTAACCCCTGTGTTGTTAGCTTCCGAGTCAACGTGACACAAGCTGGAGTCATCTGTAAAGAGGGGACCTCAACTGAGAAGATGCCCCCTCCTGGATTCCCTGTAGGCAAGCCTTGATTGATGATTGATGTAGAAGGGCCCAGGCTGCTGTGGGTGGTACTACCCTGGGCAGGTGGTCCTGGGGTGTATAGGCGAGCAATGTTTTATCTGTTTCATTTCCGGCCTCCAGTTTCCTGCCCTGACTTCCCTCAGTGATGACTGTGACCTAAAAGTTGTGAGATGAAATCAACCCTTTCCTCCCCAAGCTGCTTTTGGTCACAGTGTTTTCTCACAGCAATAGAAACCCTGACTAAGACAGCCTCCCAGAATTCCTTGCCAAAGGACACATCAGGTAGGCAAGAAAATGGGATCTGGGATATAAGATATAGGACTAAAATTGAGATAGACTTCTCTCAGGGGAAGTAGCCCTTCTTAGTTCTGATGTAGTTTGTTTGTTTGTTTGTTTGTTTGTTTATAGGTGTAGAAAGTTTAGCATAATTCCTGAGCTCACTCGGTTTTCCACTCCCTCTGCTGCAGGAGATGTGTCTCATCTGCTTAGAGAACCCCTGAACAAAGGCGCTGGGTTTGCCAGCCCTTTCTCTTACCTTAGAAGCTAGCTGCCTTTACGGCGCATGCCCACACTGCTGTGACCAAGAAGACTTGTGTGCTTGGCTCTGGCGTTCCGAAATAGGAAGAGCATTCACTTACAGACAAAAACAATGGCCTCTCCCCCAGACCTTATGAGTAATAGAAGGGACATTTTAATCCTGCATATTCTATCTTTATCCCACAGTTTAAGAAGAAACAGGTGTAGTGGGGCATACCTGTAACCCCAGCACTTAGGGGAGACAGAGGAAGTGATGATCATCAGTGTGAGATGAGTCTGGAACTAACAATAATTCTCAGACCGGCCAAGAGCCAGATCTGTACAGGGAGGACCTATCTCAAAAAAATATACAAGCCAAACCAAAACACCCAAACCCAAACACCAAAACTTAAAACAACTTGCATGGGAGTTGTGCAGAGTGGTGCATGCCTGTACTCCCAGCACTCCAGACAAGACAGCAGAGTGCCAGGCCAGTTTGTGCTACAACAAAAGATGATGTCTCAGTCAACAAATCAGTCCAATGTGGGTGCCTCATCACTAGGCACTCTTGCGTGCTTTTTCCTCAGTGACATAAGGAGCTGTGTATTTTCTCCAGATAGGGTGCCAAGAGACTAAAGAACAGACTCCACTTAAGTCCAGCTTCGCTAACCAGTGAGCTATTGGTTTTCACTTGTAAAGGTCTATGGGTAACTCAAATGCAAGAAATATCTTATGTTTGGGTAGCCTGGCCGACTCGTATCTATGTGGAATCCGATGTGCCCACAGCAATTGTTAACTGCTTATATAACATCTGGTGTGCAGGGGCCTCCTGATCCCTGTGAGCTCATAAGCACCATAAAATGCCCCTCGGCACATGAGAAAGTGTTAATGGGTCCCATCTCATGAGGGTCTTGCTTCTGCTTCAAGATGATGATGTCCTGCCATGCCCACAGGAAATAGCTCCCCAGAGGTGCTTTATTGGAGCTGCTTACAGGATCAAGGAGAAGCACTCTGGTTGCTGAGGCACCGGAGTGCATTGTAAGGGCTTTGCTTTCCTGGTTCTCTGATGGTCATTTGTGGTACACTCTGAGTCTGTGTTGTTGGTGTGTGTGGGTGGGGCATCTGTGTGTGCAAGTGTATATGGAACTCTCAGGACAACAGATATGAAAGGGCAGGGTGGGGAGATTGATGGTGAATGTCGAGGGAATCCTGAATTTGTTCTGAAGGCACAAAGAATTGAACCAAGTTGCAAAAAGGGAGACTAACAGCTTTACATATTTAGGTTGGTAGAAACCTAAGTCTAGAAGCCCTTAAAAAGATGCAGGCTTCTGGTTTTTATGGTATGCTGGTCCTCCTCTTGCCCTGTTGGTCCTGTCTGGACACCTGCCACCATGTCTTCCCATTGGTTCTTCTTGCAGTGTCTCCTGGGAACAGAAGCAGCCTCTCAGGAAGCCTGCTCCCACTTTCCTAGTCTATGTGTATCCCTCTAGCCACACTTCATCATTGTTTCTTCCTTTAGAGACAGGGTCTGTTCTGGCTAGTTTTGTGTCAACTTGACATAAGCCAGAGTCATTTGGGAATAGGGAACTTCAATTGAGAGAATGTCCCTGCCAGACCTGTGGGGAAGCCTGTGGTACATTTTCTTGATTGATAATTGATATGGGAAGGCCCAGTTCACTGTGGGTGGTGCCACCCCTAGGCTGGTGGTTCTGGAAGCTGTAAGAGAGCAGGCTGAGCAAGCCATGAGTAGTAGGCCAGTAAGCAGCACCCCTCCATGGCCTCTGCATCAGCTTCTTCCCCACTTGAGTTCTTGCCTTGACTTCCCTCAGCAATGGACTGTGATCTGAGAATTGTAAGGTGAAATAAACCCTTTTCTCCCTGAGTTGTTTTGGGTCATGGTGTTTTATAACAGCAATAGAAACCCTAAGACAAGGTCTTTGCACTGTCTTGAAACTTTCTAAGTAGGCTAGGCTGACTGGCAACTAAGTCCCAGAGATCCCTGTCTCTATTTCTCCAGCACCGAGGTCTCTGCTTCTCCAGCACCAAGATTACAAGCATAGGTGCCACTACACTGGAGTTCTAGTAGCGAGGCTCATGCTTGTAAGGCAACTACGTTATAGACTGAGCTGTCTCCCAGTCCCATTGTTAGTGTTTTAAAGATAAACTCTCCCATCTGCTTTATTTCTGAGTCTCTGGTGCACAACAAAGAGTCTAGAAATAAAACCAATATATAGAAAAGTAGCTCAAAAAAAAACCCCAAAAAACAAAAAACAAAAAAAATTACAGTTTTCTAAATAATTCTCTATAGACTAGAGGAAGAAGAATGCTTGTGTTTTTAGGAAGTGTCATGCTTCTCTTTGACCTGCCAAACTCTTTTTATGGAATATATCTTTATATTTTAAAAAAAAGAAAGGTAGCTCATAAGTAGCAGAGTCCCAAGCTGGAAGGCCCAAACCAGAGCTCCAGGAGTAGATGCCATCAGAGGAGAGTGCAGGGAATGATCCTCTAGGTCAGTGTCATGAAGCTCCACCAAGTCCAGATTCAGCTCAGCAGGCCTATGAGCTGTGGAAGGTTCAGGAAGTCAAATGGGGTCCACTGAGGCAGCCTCACTCTACTCCTTACTGCCTGGGCAGACTGTGACTGCTCTCACTCTTCAGATGGAAATGACCTGGAAAATTGCATCAGGACCTAGAAATTAAAGTTTGGAGTCCTTGGAGGTGGGGTGGGGGTGGGGGAGTCTCATATTAAAAATTAATTTATTATCATGTGTGTGCATGTGTGGTGTGTATCACAGTATGTCTGTGGAGGTCAGAGGAGAACTGTGTGGATCTGGTTCTCACGCCAAGTGTGATACAGTGTGTTCACGTTAGCAGCCGAGCCATCTCCCCAGAATTTTGTCTTTCCCCACTCTTATTAATAATTTCTGTGGGCACATCTGTAGAGATCTGGGGAGAGCTGCAGGAGTGTGTTCTCTCCTTTTAGAACCCAGAGCTGGAATTCAGGCTGCCAGGTTTGGTGGTAACCGCCTCTGCCTTCTGAGCCACCTGGAGGGCCTTCACATCTTCTTTTCTCTTCTGTGGACCCTTTTTTATTTTTTAAGGTGGATTGATGTGGATTATGAAGAAACCTACAACATCAAAGAATAGAGAGGTGGGGTAGACCTTAAGAAGCCTGCATGCAAATGATGCTTTCAGTGGTGTCTGAGCTCCCAGCCTCTCCTGAGGTCATACTGTCTGGAGTCCCTGGAATTTTCTTTCCTGAGGACAACAACTGTGGCCTATTTATTGGGTTCTGTTGCCATGAAGTGACCCTCCTACAGAAGTGAGGCTGTTGCCCTTAGCTACACATTTCTTTGTGGGACTCACTGTGAATTCCACAGTACCAAATCTCTAGTGGGGATGCACAGACCAGCATGAGACATCTCTCTAGTGTCTGCTTTCTTTCACAAGGCAGGTTGTGACTGCTGCAGCTCAGAAGCAGTGTGTATCTTATCAAGTGTGTGTGTGTGTGTGTGTGTGTGTGTGTGTGTGTGCGCTGTATGCACACACTCATGTGTGCAAGTATGTGTGTGTAGAGGCTATAGGTTTATATTAGATGTTTTGAGAGAGGACCACTCACTAAATCTGGAGCTCACTGGCTGTCTAGCCTGGCTAGCCGATGAGCTCCCAGGAAGTTGCCAGTCTCTATCCTTTCCATAGTCCTGGGGGTGCTGATGAGGGTGCCACTGTGCCTGGGGGTGTTGATGAGGGTGCCACTGTGCCTGGGGGTGTTGATGAGGGTGCCACTGTGCCTGGGGGTACTGATGAGGGTGCCACTGTGCCTGGGGGTACTGATGAGGGTGCCACTGTGCCTGGGGGTGCTGATGAGGGTGCCACTGTGCCTGGGGGTGCTGATGAGGGCGCCACTGTGCCTGGCTTCTTTTGAGAGGGTCCTGGACATCTGAACTCAGGTCTTCTTGTTTATGTAAAAAGTACTTTGTCCACTGAGCCACTCCCACGCAGGATTTGCTTGTTCTCCTTGTCTGAGGCTTATCAGTTCAAGGTTTATCAGCGCTTACAGGGGTTAGCATGGGAGACAGTGTTCCCAAGGCTGCTCTCACCCTGCAGAAGCCTGGAAGGGGCTGATGTCTGTCTGGAAAGTGTGCTTCCTTACCCCCTTCCTTTTCCTCTCGTGCCACCTTATGGTATCCCATTCCATCAGTTCCACAGATTAGATACTATGCTCAGGCTCATTGTTGAGTACATGTCTGTTTGAACTTTTATTTAGTGTTTTCTGGCCTGATGATCTCTCCTTTGTTTTGTGACTCATCTTCCACATTCAGATTGATACATCCTGGAGTCTATGCTCAATACACACAGCTTTTCTGTTGTGCACCAGGATGCTGCGGCTGGTGTCCTTATGTCTCCTCCACCCTGAATCATCTGCATTCTCTTGTTTCTACAGCAGTTGATGTACCCATGTCGATGACATCTGAAAAGGCTGCAAAATTAAAGCTGTGTGATTATGAATACTATGAAAGAGGTTTTGACAACTTTTTGGTGGCATTTAATTCAAGTTAAACTCTTCTCATTCAAAATAATAAGCATAATGTTACTTATTATGTAAATGAGGTGGCCAGGCAGATGTTTTTCATCTTGGTGAATTCAGTAGGGATTAATACATACAAATGCAGAGTAGGATGGGCAAATGTTCATCTTGGGAACTCGAATAAGGTTCAGCAAGAGGAAGGTGGTTACTTTGGAATTGTGTTGTTCAACACACTGGAGCCACTAACCATATGAAGCTATTTAAATTTAAATCAATTAGAAAGAAATAAAATTAAAATTCAGTTTCTCAGTCACACTAGCCATAATTCACGGGCTCATAGCCACATATGGGAGGGAGGCTCCCTACCGAAACACACAAAGAACATTTGTATCATCAAAGAAAGTTCCATTGGATGGTGATGCTAACCTCATAAGGAATGAGCAGCATCAATAGGTTCTTCTTGTCAACTGGAGCAGTATCCATGAAAGTTCTAGAGGGTTCTGAAGAACCCCAAGTCATCACATTACAGAGATACCTCCTTACCAGTGTTTACAGCAGCCCTAGTCACTATAGCTAAATTATGGGAGCAGCCTAGAGTCCAGCCTCAGACATGGATAAAGAAAGTATGTATATACACAATAGAAGTTTTCAGCCATAAACAAGCTCCAAATTATATCCATTGTAGAAATGAATGAAACCAAGACAATCAGATTAAATGAATTATACCAGCCTCAGAAAGACAGATTTTGTATGTTTTCCATCATTCCTGGTTCCTGAGTTGTATACAGTCATACATAATCATGTATGTTTGGATTAAACAGCACAAGGGAACAAATGGGGTCCATGGGAGGAGGGGCGAGAAAAGGAACCCTGTGAGACAAGGCCAGAAACTAAAGAATATATATATATATATATATATTCTCTTAGAGAGTTCTGAGGATGGGGGTGGATCAATGGAGAGTAGGACGGCAGAGGAGGTAGGATTAGGTGGTTGCATGAAGACCCATGTGTCTCACAGGTGCCCACTGTATCTCAGCTTCTGAAGGACTGAGTGTCCTCCTGGCAACCAGGGATCCGTAAAGCACAGGTGCTGGTTACAAAGGACTGGGCTGGGGCCCAGGAATCAGCACTCAGAACTGAATCCTTGGTGATGTTGATGCCGCTGGTTTGTGAACTACAGTTTGGACAGCAAGGTGCTTTTAAACCCCTAATTCACAGGGACATCCTCCCGTGGTGGCTAAGAAACCCAGGGAAAGAATCCTGAGTCCCCACAGGCCAGTGCCACCTCAACTGAGCCTTGTCACACACACCAAGCTCTCATTGCAGCAGGAAGCTGCTGTCATGTCACCAAGGAGGGAAAGGCTGTGGGAAAAGGAATGATTTGTCAGAAACTATTGTGAGCAGGCTAATTTGCACCTGTGTTAATTGGCCTGGTACTCTCTTTACCTTTCCAGTCATTCCATTCCTGCAGATTACGGAAGGATTTAAAAAAAGAAAGACAGAAACTCAGAAGAAACGGCCGCTCCATGGAAACATAATTTGCATACATAAAAATTCAGTCTATAGAAATGTTGCTCAGCCTTGTCTGCACAACTGGAATCATCTGGGGGAACTTTAACATCACCAGGTTCCATTTTGCCCTCAGATTTTTATTTCACCAATTAATGGGGGAAATAGTGGTTTTTTTGACACCTTCCCAATGTCTCTAACATACAGCTATAGAGAACTTTGATTATAGTAATGACCCTGAAACCTGAAGGTGCATCACAACCATGCCCTGTAGCAAGGTAGACTGCAGGACTCCATGCCCTTGAGTTCCTGACAGGATGGGGAGGTTTGCATTGCTGAGAAGGTCCCAGCTGCTACTACTCCCCACTGTGGAGACTCCCTGAAGGCATGGTTCTCAGTTGTGACCACACCTGGTTACCACCTGTGAGGCTTAAAAACCACCATAAGCCATGTACATGTGTGGTATTGCATACTTATAATCCAGGCACTTGGGAGTTCGAGGCTAGCCTGGGCTACATAAAACCCTGTCCGAAAGCAAAACAACTCTACCTCCAACCTATCATTGCTTCCATCCCACCTCCAGACATCCTGATTTTTGGAGGATTCAGTCTTTAGGAACTGAGAGTTCCCCTTGTGATAGGGGTTTGAAAACTGTTGCGAGACAGTCTTTCAGATTGGAAGACTACAAGCACAGGACCACATGGATGTTAGATGCTCAGGCTGAGCTCTATCCCTGTAGAATCATAGCATTCTCCAGGTGACTTTTGTATACATTAGAGATGAGACCTTCTGTACCAGGAAGTCCTTCCAACAGCAATTCAGAGGCTGGGTAAAGTGTGTGCTGTCCAAGCATGAGGACCTGAGTTTGGATCCCCAGAACTCACATAAAAACCAGGTGTAGTGGTATAATTCTGGTGAGGGGTGAGTTAGAGGGCAGAGGCAGGCCAATGTGGGGACTTGCTGACCAGCCAGTGCAGCCAAGATGACAAACTCCAAGTTCATTAACAGATGCTTTAAAAAAAATAGTTATAGAGGAAGACACTTTCATCAGCTTCTGAGCTAAGCACATGCATGTATAGGTTTGTGAACCTGCACACACACACACACACACACACACACACACACACACACACACACATACATACATACACAAGGCATACAACACACACACAGGTAAAAATATTTTAAAAATCAATTCATTTTAAGCTGGGCCTGGTGATGCCTGTAATCCTAGCACTTGGGAGGCTGAGGCAGGAGGATTGCAAGTTTGAAGCTAACAAACCTACATAGCAAACTCCAGATGAGCTGTAGAGAGTCTGTCCTACAACTGGAAAGAAGATCAGTTTGTTGAATTATATACATATATGCTTCAAAGAAATTCATTAATGATTTCTGTTACTTCCTAAAAATTCTGGGGTATGTAATTTAGTGCAAACTTATTTCAAATTATTGAGGTTTTACTACATGTTTTTTGCAAAGACACAAACTTGTCCTTGCTTGCTTGTACTGTGTCTCAGGACACTTGGGATCCCAGCAGGGAGACACTGGAGTTGCCAGACTCAAGAAGGGCAAAAATGACCAAACTTTTCACATGTCTGCAAAAGGTTCATTATTCAGGATAAAATGCTTCTAGTTTACTGTCTTTTGATTTTAGAAGAACTCACATTTCTTATTCAATCACCAGAATGATGAAACATAGCTATGCTCTTAATTCATGAAGCCTTTCAGTGTGCAGGGGAAGCCCCATGGTGAGGAATGGAGTGTCTGAGAATTAGACCGTCTTGAGAAAAAGAGGAGCTACTCTGTGTTTTTACTTTTTTTTTTCTTTTGGTTTTTTGAGACAGAGTTTCTCTGTGTAGCTTTGAGCCTTTCCTGGAACTCACTCTGTAGCCCAGGCTGGCCTTGAACTCATAGACATCCACCTGGCTCTACCTTCCTAGTGCTGGGATTAAAGGCATGCGCCACCACCGCCTGGCTTTTACTTTAGTGTGTGTGTGTGTGTGTGTGTGTGTGTGTGTGTGTGTGTGTGTGTGTGTATGTATACAGGTGCCTGTGTACAATAATATGCATAAAGGGGTCACCAGACAATTTTTTGGCAGTTGGCACACTTCCATGGCTGGGTTCCTGGGATCAAACTTGGGTCACTATGCTTTCAAGGCAAGCACTCTTACCCATGGAGCCAGGAGACATCTATCTCACACTGTGATGACACTAGTCCCACACTGTGTCATCCTAGAGAAGTGTTTTCTGGGTAGTCTTGGAGGGCAACTGTGATTGCCAAAGATAAGCAGAGGAAGAGCAGCAGGACCCATAGGTTAGACAGCCTTCTTTTTTTTTTTTGATTTTTCGAGACAGGGTTTCTCTGTGTAGCTTTGCACCTTTCCTGGAACTCACTTGGTAGTCCAGGCTGGCCTCGAACTCACAGAGATCCGCCTGGCTCTGCCTCCCGAGTGCTGGGATTAAAGGCGTGCGCCACCACCGCCCGGCTTAGACAGCCTTCTTAAACCCACACTCAGTGGATCACTTGGAGATCTTGTTGGATGCAAATTCTGCGTGACCGGCCTGTGGCAGGCCTAGGAGTGCACACCTTTCCCACTCCTGAGGGTGGAATGCTCCAGGTTCATGGAGGAAAATCTGAGTAACAAAAGGCTAGACCAACTATGCTCCAAGGACACTCAGTCGTCTCAGGGACTCAAAAGAACATCAAGTGTCCAGGTGTAAATAGGAAGAAGGTGAATTTTGTTAAAAGTGAAGATCCACTAATCCTGAGTCTTCTGAGAGAGACAGCTAAAGGTCAGAATTCTTCACAGACTCATCATTAATGGACAGTTAATGAGGATGTGAAGTGTCATTTCAGGCAACCACGAAATACTACACAAACACCTCAGACGACTAGTAGGGCAGAAATTTCAAAATGTTGCAAGCTGTTTGCAGGCTTGAAGTAGCAATTTACATGCATAATTAGGTGCAATCAACAGTTTTGAAATGTAATATATTTTCTGAGTCCATATTTACTTATGACAGATGCTAAAAAAAATACATGTCCCCCAAGTAATTGCAGGGGCAGAAGGAAATAATATTTGCATTGAACAATAGGAACCTTTAAAAGCACGTGTCTAAATTTAGAACAAATTCAGTTGCAGTATTTTATCTTCCATTTTATTTAATCTTCATCTGAGCCTTGAAAAAAGTTCACAAACACATTTTGGAAGTAACAAGCGTGGAAGAATATTAACTTAACAGTTCTCCCAGCTCCTGTCTGAATTGACATGTGATTTTTATTTCTGCACTCCAGAAGAAAACCTGTCAAACTCTGAAGTTCCTCGCACACAACACTGGTGAGTTCCTCCCTCTTCTCCGAAGATGCCAGCTATCTTCTAGAAAAATCCTGTGTACATGCTCCTGAACCAAAGTCTTCAGATACTTTCAAGGTCAGTTTCTACCATCTTCCTGCCCTAGCTTAACAGACAATGCCGTGTGCTATGTGATTTTCTAAGCACATTACACAGATAATCTAATTTACCTTAATAAAAACTTTGTAAGGACTCTTGATTTATTAGTGGCTGCTGGAGGGGACGTGGAGAGAAGTATCATCCTCAAAGGCATGAGGTTGTATTTTCTTAATTTTTTTAAAATTATTTTGTAATAAATATTTTGGAAGTGGGGGTAGGCATGCCACAGCAAATGTTAAGAAGTCAGAAGACAATTCTTTGGGGTTTGTTTCTTTATGTTTTAGGGACTAGATTTGTGTTATCAGGCTTGGCAGTGGGCACCTTTACTCACAGGCCAGCCAGTCTGCAGGCCTCACTCGTACTGACTTGGCTCATACATGACAACAGTCAGGGTCATAAGGTCATTTAAAAGTCTAGTACATCCAGATAAGCAAACTCATTGTGTTATTTGATGAGTTCTGGGTTTAGAAAATAAACTTAAAGTAAAGCTTTTAGAATTATTGAAAACCAAAACCAACACCAGAGACCTGGTAAGCCTTCATCCAAACTCTGCTCTCTTAGAGCACGTCCATGCTGCCTTACCTGACCTGTCTACGCTGAGTAAAGCAGCCATGAAATGCTTTCATACTCATGCAAAAACCTGGAGAGTAAGAGGTTGCAGAAAAGGATAAATTCTGCTGATGTACCTGGTGTAACTTCATCCATGAGGACTATGTGCATTGGTGTGTAAAAGCTCTGCTGGGCACTGCAGAGCAGCCCAGTGGGCCATGTGACTTCCAGCTGCATCAGGCACATGTATCCCACACTGGACATTGAAGGAAAAGGCCACTAGAAAATACATGGGCAGTTCGCTTATCTCCTGATTCATTTGGGGACATTTAAGAACTCAAAACCCAGACTAAACGACTAATGTTAAACAGCTTCTTCGTGACTTACTTCTCCTTGTTGCTGTTCCAAGGTCCCTCCTGGATGTACACAGTTGCTGATGACCCATAACACCCTAAGCTACTTCCAGGACCAAGTGGCAACTGCAGAAGTCACTTGTTCACCTTGAGATGGATCAGATGGACTCAACCCAACCTTGGTCCCTGTTACCTGTTAAATGCCACTGGGAATGTTTGTTTGGTATTAAACTTTTGTTAAGTCTTTATTGTAAGCAACCTTTTATGTCCAGACAAGGCCACTGGATTCCTGGAGTGTCAGATGACAGATTCTTCCCTTATTCCTGGAGGCCTTGAGCCCCGAACTGTCCTTCTAGCAGCTCCTTCCTTGGCAGCTGGTTGGACCGACTGCTCCCCTACTAGGTACTTTTAGTGTTGTCTGGTTTCTGTAAGAACACTTCAGCAGCTGGGGAGGGTATCGACTTTAACCATGGATGCTACAAAAGATACTGCTTCCCCTTTAGGAAGTCGACTTCTAGCCCAAAACATTCCTAACAACCTACAGGAGGGCAGGAGGACAGTGTTCAAGACAAGCCTGGGTGAACTCCGGATGACCCTGCTCACCGGCAGCTGTTTTGACTCAGAGAGGAGAGAGGACTTGGTTGGGCTAGATTTCTACAGAATGTTTGTGATTGGTATGATTTGATGGCTGTGGTTGGTGCAAATTACAGTGCCACATTTATGTGCTACAGTCCCGCCACACCCCCTTTCTGGTTTTAGAATGAGCTCAGAGCCACCCTCTGCTACTGCACCCTAGTGATGCAACATCAGACCCAATAAAAGGTTTCTGCCAAGGGCTCTTTCTTACCCACCTGTGATCTTTATGGTGATTGGAATGAGCTGAGCTGGTAACTTCCAGAGGAGACAGTCAGTGGCAGCCCCTCATCAGTTAAAAGGGACTGACGAGTTTGAAGAGTGATGGGGCAGAAGCTCAGGAGAGGATGGTGGATGGCAGAAGTGGAGAGACCTGCGGGAGATCTGAAGACAAGGATGTGACTGCTTGGTAGGAGAGTTCCAGGGGGCTCCCAGTCCCTAAAGGTGAGGGTCTAAAATCTGCTCTGGAGCTGTAATGCTAGCTATACATGCTTCCAGCCCCCCACAACCCTAACACTCAAGGCTTGTTGAGTTCCAGCTCTAGATGCCAAGGATGATTCTAGCTGCCCCAGGGCCAGGCCATTGGGAATGAAGGCCCAGAGCAGTAAGCCTTCCACCTGAGCATCTACACAGTCATATGGCTTTGGCTTATAGAGCCTGGAGGCATGCATCCCCAGTTCTGAGGACTTGGAAATAGAGGCTGAGTCTCTTGGCACAGCTTATGAGTTTTTGGCACTTCAAGGCTCAGAAACACTGGTACTAGCCCAGCAACTCCTCTTAATTTCTATGTGAGTAGCACAGAATTGGTAAACGTGACTGACAGGGAGTCCCAATGTAAGCTTTTCCAGGTCTATCTGTGCCAACTCTGTATTTACAGAGCACTCCACTGCTTGCCCCTAGCCTCACCGCCTAAAAATTTGCCCAGCTTACTTGAGAGAACTGGCCACTTGGGAGAGCAGGCGCCCAGCTGGCGCCCACCACAGGATACGTTGCAGTAAAAGCCTGGCAGCTACACCCCACGTCCCTTCCTCCTCCATTGACCCTCCAGCGGCACACCTTGGTGCCAAACTCAGCACCGTGAGACTGGTCCACATCCACACATCCTCTTCATCCCATAGAGCCCCACCCCTTCCCAGTTTTATTTAACCCCTGGCATGCCCAAGACTAGGTTAAATCTGTTCCTGCTAGTAATTGGATACTGGTTGCTTCTGTGTTCCAGTTCTCTAGTAGAAGACAGAGCCACCAGCATCAGGGCAGACCTGGGTGCTGGGCTCTGGGAGTCACACACATGCACCCAGAGAAGGACTGGCCCTCCAGACACTATTGGTGGCTGGAGGAGGAAGAACCAGGGTCAGGAGGTGGTAGTCACCTGGGGTTGGGGTGGTCTCTCCAGCCACGAGTTCTCCCCTTGCCCCTCTCCTACTGTTCCCTGACATCCTCATGCATAGGTCGAAATACCCTTTTTGCTTCGGTTCCCCTGAGCTAGGAAGGAGGCGACAGATAGGGTCGGTGCCTGGTCAGCGGCTAGGGGTGCAAGATCCCGCTTATACCTGACATTCCCTATCTCCGCCAGTGTCGCCAGGCAAATCTGGCCCATCTGGTTTGTTCTTCCAGTAACTTTGTTCAGAAGGTTGGAAGGGAGGTGAAACACCCAGGGAGCCCCCAGGAGACGCCAGATGATCGAGGATCGTGGATCCGGGATCGAGGATAAGGAGAACAAGTCCTCGGGGCTGTCCCCAGGGCTGGCTGGGGCGCGCGGCTGGGAGGCGCCCTGCCACCGCCAGGATGCGCTCGGTGTAGCGGGACTGCCGGGGGGCGCCTGAAGGCCAGCGCTCCAAGGACACGCGGCCACCCGCTCCTCGCCGGCTCCCGGGCCCAGACGCCCCGCAGCGCCGGAGCCGAGGCGCGGGGAGTGCGGGCGAAGGGTGGCAGGAGGGAGGGCGCGCGCGAGGCGGCCCCTCCTCGGCGAGCCATGCGTGCCACGGGCCGCTGAGGAGCCGCCGGGCGCCGCTGCCAAGTCTCCGCTCCGCTTTTGTCTTGCCCTCCAGTGAATGGGAAGATGGAGATGGATGTGGAGGGAGTTTCTCCGCGCCCGGAGCCCATCCCCCGCTCCCAGGGGGCTGGCGGAGCCTGCCAGGCGCCGCCACAGCCTCCCCAGCCCCAGCCGCAGCCCCAGCAGCAGCTGGCTCAGGATGAAGTGCCCTGCGAGAGTGCGGGCGCTGAGGACAGCGACGATCCGGAGGCGAGACCCAACGGCGAGAGGGGGGAGAGCAAGGTAAGGTCCGCGGTGTGGCCGCCGTGACATCTTTTGAACCAGATGGAGGGGCACTAGTAGTGGCTGTCTCTTTAACCCCTCTACACCCAACCCCCTTACCTCGTTTGTATGGGGGGTGGGGTGGCAGGTTGGAGAAGGCGTGAGATTTAAAGGAATCCACGCCGGTAGTGAGTTTCTCAACTGGAAGGCGTGTGCAGAAAGAAGTCTGCTCTGGTTTCGGTGTTCGGTGATGTGTGCAGGGGAAAAGTCGTGGCACAAGCCATGCGAGGCTGAGGGCAGGACTGAACCAGCGGGAGACTTCTGCTTTAGATGCTGTGGGTCTAGAGGAAGTGTGCCTTAAGACCTGGCGACGAGTGGCTTCCTTGACACTTGGAGGGGAGGTGGCATGCAGCTACTGATGGGAGCGAAGTTTGGCTTGTTTCAGATTGGACAGCTTTGCTTCACGGAGCTCTAGGCTGGAGGTAGTCCTCCTCAGCGGGCATCCTCCTCTTCTGGAGGGCAGGGACCCGGTGCCTGTCAGCAGATGAACCCTGCAAGTCCTTTGCAGCCCTGCTGTGTCATGGTAGACCAGGGGAGACCTGCGCCTGACTGTGTGGAGTTCTTTAGGTAATTGATTTCCAGTAAAAATGGCTCAGATGCCATTCTCTGCTGCTGGTGTTTTCCTCTGCTGAGAAAATTGTACAGTAGGGGAAATGGCACAGAAGATGACGCCTTGGTGATATTCAGAGAGTGTGCTTATTACAGCCATCCCTGGGCAGTTGCTGCCTCTACCCACGCTCGGAGTTTAGTTTGGTGGAAGCTAGTTGTTGAGTTCCATCGGAATCGAGTTCGCACGTGTGTTTGTTAAAGCATTTTGAAAGCCGCTGCTAATATTGGGGGAAAGTTGGTTCAGCAAATCAGAATATTGGAACCCGAGAAGAGTCAATCTACTTTATTTCCACGGTGTTTCAGGTAAGGAAGTGTACAGGCAGATAGGCACTTGCGCTCTAGAAGCAAGCCACGTCTCCTGAAGTGCTCCTCCTTGTGAATACCTTGATTTTCCTTGGACCTTTGCAAAGACACCAGTAGATTAAACAGATACTAGAGCATGTTGGGATCAAACAGAGTGCTGCTGTTCTGTGTCTGCAGACAGATCTTTAACAAGTTTGGATTTGCAAATGCTTAAAATTGTTTCTGTGTTTTGAAACCTGAGATAAGAATCAGGGTTGTTGTTGATCTACAAAAATCAATACTATTATTATTTAAGTGGTAAGCTACGCAGGAGTTGGAATCTGAACACACTCCAAAACAGACCAGAACGGGGCGCCGTACAAGTGGGTACAAGATTTACGCTGTGAAAACTATATGAATTTTAATAGTCTGATATCCCCAGCCTTCCAGTCACTCTTGATTTCATGAATATTTAATCCTGTCACGGCTACATATTTACTACTTGAAAGCCTGTGCCCCGTTTTATGAAAACAACCCTAACCGAGCATCATATTACCTAATTGAACTTTAAGTCTTCTCTGCAAAATTGGTGTGGAGAGTAATTAAAATCTACAGCCAGCCGGTGCTGCTGTTTCCGTAGTGTGGGTTCCTTTGCCCTAAGCGTGAGAAGAAACTCCTGCCATCAGCAAAAAAATCTGTGTGTGTTTGTTTCCCTCGGCTGCGCCATGTAGACTGTCTAATGGTCTGCCTGCTATGAGGAATGAGAAAAGCGATGCTCTAGAAATACACACCAGGCAAGGAGAAGAGTGAAAGCCGGTTGATTACATTTAGCTAATTAGTGTGTTCAGATAATTGAGTATCCCAGCGATGTGATTTGCTGCATGTCTGCCTGCAATGTTTTTGAGGTGGAAACAAAATACTACCCCCCCTCAACACCTCCAGGTGTTTGTCTTAAATTATGTGGCTTCCTTTCCTGAACCTAGAAATCAGCTGGGGTAACCTTCGCTCGTCTCTGCTGCCCTCCTCGCTAGCCATTCTGAGAGTTGGAGGAAGGCTGTTATGTTCAAACCTTAATGACTGCTTTTGCTTTTGATGAATATGAAGGCAAATTACAATTTTTTTCTTAGCAAATTTGGTTATGAGTAGAAAGACCTTGGTGTCTGACTAAATTATTCTACTTAAAGGTAAATGGAAGAAAGCTTGGATGGACATGGACTGTGGGCTTATGAGGCTGTTGGGGTAAGATGGGTAGAACACTACATTGGACCTAAAAGCTGGTGAATGATATTTAATGCATTGGGCTATCATGTTTTCTTTACATTCACGAGAATAGTTGGAATTTTGAAAAATTCTTTACTTCCTCCATACAAGGGCACCATTAATAAAGATATAAGTGGGCACACCTTGAAAATACAGTGTTGGAGGAGTCATGAAAGTTTCTGTTTGCTTGTTTTGGATTTCCTTTGAGACAGAATTGTATGTAGCCCAGGCTGGCCTTGAACTCACTGTCTAGTAGAGGGTGACCTTGAACTCCCAATCTCCTGCCTCCATCTAGCAAATGCTGAAATTACTTGTGTGTGCCACCACACTTAGCTCAGTGACTGTGCTTTGATTCTGCCTTGGGGCCATGGTTTATTCTTGGATGATTTACCTCCATTGTCTTATTGAAAAAGTAATTTGGGGGTTGACTCCTAATTTATCATTTCTGAATTGTTGGATATATAATCATATATCACATGTCATCATAAAGTCTCTGAAATAAGAGGTGAGGTTAGAATACTAGTGTGTGTGTGTGTGTGTGTGTGTGTGTGTGTGTGTGTGAGAGAGAGAGAGAGAGAGAGAGAGAGAGAGAGAGAGAGAGAGAGAGAGAGAGAGAGAGTTGTCACATACATGTATGTGTGAAAGAGACACATGCGTGTGGAGTAAGAACAGCTTTCAGGAGTTGGTTTTTCCTGTTGCCCTGTGGCTTCTGGGGATCCATCACTGGTTGTCAGTTCTAGCAGCCCCTTTACTCACTCAGCCATCTTGCTGGCCTAAAAGAGACCTTTTTTTTTTTTTTTTTTAATATTAGAGTTCCATCATGTATCTAGTGTTTTCTGTCCGATAGGAGGGCTACATGGCTCCTCTCCAACAGCTACTCTTGAAAGAAATATTACAGCAGCTCCAGATTACATGTGACCTGAGCCCGTGAGTTGGAGCAGACCCTAAGTCGACCACTAATCTTCCTGGGCGTCATCATTAAGTCTTTACCAAAGGTAGTCTCTTATCTCTGTGCTGATCTGAGGTGTGGTAACCACTTCTGGTGACACGGTGTGGTGTCTTCTCCCCTGTTACACTAAGGCCTTCTTCCTCATATCTGAAGAGGTTCGAACCTCGGTAGATCTCTTGTGTTCTAGTCTTAGGTTGAAGATTAAAAATAGTCTATAAGGAAGAGACCTGCAAATTCTTGAAAACTGTTCTTGATTTAAAACACCTGACCTCAAAACTTTCTTACCAAATTTCCCAAGAGTACCAGGTATCATTTTTCTGATTTTTAAAACTCTGTGGAAATGTTCGGTTTGTACCAAATAACTTTTTAATTGGTGTTTATGAAACTTTGAAAAAACTTGGACTTTTTTTGTATAATGTATAACTACCACTCCAGTGTTTTTACCTACTTTGTTAACAAGTTACTTATACAAATGTGTAAATCCTTCCCCTGACCCCATGTGGATAACAGGGATATTTCTTACATTTCCCCTCCATCTCATTCACCGCATCCTCTTCCTTATTCTCTCTCCCCACTGCCTCCCTTCACCTCCACACACACTGTGCTCCTATAAAGGAGTGTCAGTATAGCCCAGGTATGAAGAACTGAGAAGAAGCTTCCAGACTTCCTCTGCTCCTAGTGAGCAGGACAAGTTGTCCGCTCTTGTGACCTTGGCCTAGAGGAGCCCAGAACCGCGGCTACCGGTAGTTCTCAGTTGATGGAAACAACTCTGCTTTTCCCTTCAGCTGTAGGCCGTTAGCAGCACAGTCTAAGAGGACACCCTTCCGGGGCTGGTGTGGGGAATCCACTATCCTGTTTGTCATTTGGACTTTTTTTTTAAAGCCTTTCAGTTTGAAATAATTTTAGATTTGTGGTAAAGTTTTAAAAGTAGAATGTTATGTAAACATTTTTTTCTCAGATTCCTCTATTTTTAATATTTTTAAATGTGGTATTAGTATTGCATAAAATATGGGCTGTGTACAGCACAGTGAAGAAAATGCCTTTTGAATAGTTACCTGAGCTTGTCACTGAACCCTGACTGAGTGAGTGTACAGCATAGCAGTGTTTTCCCTCCTGTCCTCCAAAGGGAAGGCTTTCTTTACGTCTGAAAGCCCAGAGAGGATTGTTAATGGTCAGAACTAACCTCACACTGCCTTTCTGCCCCCTGCTATCTCTGGTGGGTTGGAACAGTTTGCTAAGTGCAAAGTTTGAGATCCCTGGGGTAATACCTCAGTTGTGGGGAACCCCATGAATGTTGAGACTCTAGCAAAGCTAGAGTGATGTTGACTGTGGGGAGTGCTACCTTGCTTTTCACGTGACTCCGAAAACACTTCTGCTCTGGTCAATGATTAAGATAGCACTTGCCAGTGTGCAGGAGACAGTGAGGTCTCATGTGGCAAGTCAAAGGGAATGCTGGTAAATCAAGGCAGCTCCACCCCGAGTGATGTTCTTGGCATGAGAAATGAGAGGCTTTAAAGGTTTAGCCAGGTGGACTCTGATTTCTGACCCAGAAGTAGAAATTTGCTTTTATTAGTGTTGTTCCTGAAGTCGGGAGACCTGAATTGGATCTTGGTTCTGCCTTTCTTTTACTCTTTCACTTGCTTTTGATTTACAGTAGGCCTTGACCTCCCATACCTTGGTCTTTGCATCTGTAAAATAGGTTTAATTATAGTGTCAACCCCAATGATTATTGTATGGCTTGGATGATAGAAGCCACAAAAACTTTTGATTCACAACTTTCCAGGTAATGATGGCCAATGTTGTGAATAATAGTTTGATTATTATCATTACTGGGGTCCATGCTTTGAAAAGGGAAGATGAACTGAGAATTTAAGTTCCCCTACCAGAGGACACAGGCAGGCTATGACACAGACAGACACATTATTCTACAGTCAAAACAAGTTGGTACTCTGTGACCTGATTTTCTCCTTTAGGCCATGTGATTTGTGTTAGTTAGTTTTAACTGTTAACTTTACACAACCTAGACTTGCCTGGTAGAAGAGCATTACTGAGGAATTATCTAGATTAGGGAGGCTTTGTGGCTATGTCTCAGGGTGGGGGCAGATTGTCTGGATTGCTAATTGATCCCGGAAGAGCCAGGCATTGTGTGCAGCACCATTACCTAGGCAGTGGGTCCTCAACAGTATAAGCGAGAACAAGACTGGCAGAGAGCAAGCAAGGATGTACAAGGATGTACTCTTGACTGTGGATGTGACTAACTGCTTTGAGTTCCTGCCTTGATGGTCCTAAATGGTGAGCATGAAATTGTGAACCACACAAACTCTCTCCTCTCTGTATCGCTTATGTCAAAGTGTTTATCACAGCCACAAAACTGAAATGGCTGTCGGTATCCAGGCATTTATATGGTAGATCAGTTAGCAAAGAGTTTTCCTCCCTTGTCCCTATCCTGTTACCAGGGACAGCCAGG